GTTTAGAGTTTAGGGTTTAGGCTAAACGTTGACCCGGTTGCATCCTTCAAACGCTCGGCGCTGCCGAAGAGGCTAAGCGCCTGCCTATCGAACAGCTTCTGCCTCAGTCGAAGGTTGGATCATGCCCTGAACCCTAAACCTAAACCCTATTATTACCACTATATGAGCCATAGTCTAAACTCCTGGCATCCCCCTTAACCATCCTTACAGTAGTCCCCTCTCTAATCCCTTACAAAGCCCCCTATAAGGAGTTTAGACTATAGCTCAATATCCCCTCTCTATCCCCATCTTAATGTCCTGGGCATAGTATGGGCACTCAATCCTGGGGTCCTAATCTCCTGTTCTATACCTGATGCAACCCAGAGAGCCCAATGCACGATTTAGGGTTTGGGGTTTAGACAGGACCCAGATTAATAAACTTGAACTCAGTTACCCTAAGATGATAGTAAATAATAGGTTGTCCTTTTTCCAGTACCTTAATTTAAGCATCTGAACAGCAACCCGGTTGTTGAGGGCTCTTAAACCCTTCTCTTACCTTTATGTCACCTTTACATTTAAAATACACTAAACCCCAAACCCCAAACCCTAAACCCTGAACCTTAAACTCTATACACATGTATCTTCCTGTCCAATGCTGGGCCCTGTCAACTTTAGACTTAGTCATGGGTTCCCCTACCCACCCCCCAAAAAAATCCCTCTTAATCAAGGTTATATGGGGGTTTCCCAACATTAGGGGTACCATTTTAGGGGTCCCAACAATAAGGACTATAGTATTTTGGGGTCTATATTGGGGTCCCCTTATCTTTGGAAACTACCATTTTATTGTTGTATTTTGGGTACTGCCCCCACCCAGTAACAGTCTGTATTAGGGCCATATAGCCATATTATACTTATTATCCAACTGTTACTGAGGGGGTCTTATGTACCCAAGTTGTATTATTTAAGGCTAAGTAACTCCCCAATTGGGGTTAATTAGGGTGGTATTATGGCGGGGCGGTAGGGGCACTCATGACTTAAGGGCCTATGCTGCTTAGGGTGGGATTTGGGTTTCATTGCCAGGACACTGTCGCCCATCTGCAGGCACATCAAGGTTTTAGGGTTTAAGGGTTCAGGGTTTTAACCCGAAACCCTAAACCCTAGGGTTTAGGGCTGCGCGCTTGGAACCCTTGTGACCCATCTACAGGGGTTCCTATTTAAGTGGGCACTTGCTCCATGGGCCCTACGGGTCATATCCCGGAAAGGTTGGTTGTTAGGGTTTCCTCCCGAGGGTTTAGGGTTCAGGGTCTGCACCTTACCCCATTTGTGCCTACACCCTGCTTTGAGGCTCCCGTCAATTGTAATCCAGTTATACCTGCACATATACCCCAATTGGAATGTCGACCCCTGATTAGTAAACCCGCCCCTGTAATAGGGATTATAATAGGGATCCTAATATTAAGGCCCTTAAAAGGATGGCTTTATTAATCATGGGTCTCCATGAAGTTTGAGATACCTGTCCGCAAAACGGCGATTATGCAGGTTTCCTTTTTGGTTTGGATGCACCCTGCGGGGACATGAATTCTGGATGGGCCTTTTTTCTGAAGGACCCATAGAACAACCCCCCGTATGCAAAGCGGAGAGTGTGCTAGGTTTAGGGTTTAGGGGTACGGATGCGTTCTCAGCATGTTTGCTTGTTTGTCGGTTCTTGGCGGGAATCTATGAATGGCAAGCCGCATCAAGTTGAGTAACCAACCCTAAACCCTGAGACTCATTAGGGTTTAGAGTTTAGGGTTCAGGGTTTAGGGTTTAGGGTTTCCGAAATCCACTAAGCAGGCAAAGCCGCGCAAAGTTGTAGATGTAGGTGCTCTTGTTGCTCATATAGGTGGCCAGTCGGAACTCTTCATCTGTCCAATCCAGCTTCCTGCTGGGTTTTGACCGTAACTCCCTTTTGGGTTTAGGGCTTAGGGTTAAGGGTGTAAGGCTTAGGGTTTAGGTTGGTTAGAGTGGTGCTAGACTTCTTCCATCAAGAAGACTGGTATAAGCTGCAGACTCCTGCTGAGCTAAAGTCTAAGCTCCTACCACCCCCCCCCTAATAACCAACCCCTATCATACTCCCCTATATAATCCCTATAGTGCCCTTTTCAAAGAGTTTAGAGTAAAGCTCATAAAAGGACAGTGTGAGGCTTACATGGGGCAAACCGTCCACCCGATGCTTCCTTAGTTTTAGGGTTTAGGTTTTAGGGTTTAAGGTTTAGGATTTAGAGTTTAGGGTTTAAGGTTTAGGTTGGGTACTGCTCCCCCTCTGTATGTATAGGCCTCAATAGGACCCTAATATAGACTGTTACTGGGTGGGGAGTACCCAAGGTTTAGGGTTTAAGGTTTAGGGTTTAGAATTTAGAGCTTAGAGCCGCCCAACTGAAACTGCCTTAGGCAAGCCAAGGACCTTACAGGAGGAGCTCTATGTTGGTGACCATACTGAAACTCGAAGTATCCACGTGTAAGTGACACCCTTATGAGACCTAGATGCCTGAACCCTTGGAGCCCCAAACCCAAGCAGCCATAAGAACTAAAACAAGAAGCCTCACATCCTGAACCCCAAAACCCTACAACCCAGCACCCTAAAGCCCTTAACCCCTAAACTCTAAAACCCCAAACCCTAAAACCCCAACCCCTAAAACCCCAAACCCATAAACCCATAAACCCCCCAAACCCTAAAACCCTAAACCCTAAAACCTAAAACCCTAAACCCCTAAACCTCCAAAACTCTAAACCCCTAAACTCTAAAGCCCTAACACCCTTAAAGCTCTAACACCCTTAAAGCTCCTGCTTCCCTCGTTTTTTTCTCCGATGCTTCGGCCGATGGCCGCCAGATTTTGGACAGGAAGACCGTAGAGTCGGCCCAAGGAGACGAGCCCTGAAATTCTAGGGTTTAGGGTTTAGGGGTTTAGGGGTTAGGGTTTAGGGTTCCCTAAGGGTCCAATGACCCAAATCATAGGGTTTTAGGGCCCAGATACTATAGTATTAATGGTATTGGGGCCCGAAAGCCCTATGATTTGGGTCCTTGGACCCTTAGGGGTTGGTTGGTTGCTTGAGGTTTAGGGTTAGGGTTGAGGGTTTAGGGTTGGGAGGTTTGGGTTTGGGGTTTAGGATTTAGGGTTGAGGTTTCAGAGGCTCTTCCGGTGTGGGGACTTAGGGTTTAGGATTTAGGGTTTAATTCTCGGGTTTAGGGCATGCGGTCGTCTGGGCATATAACCAGCCTTTCAGGAGTTTACAGTTTATAGGGGCTGTGAAGCTATCCCCCACAAGCTCCAAGAACTCAAGAATCAGGTTCAGGGGGGATTCAAGCTTACTAGTTATCTTCAACCCTTGATGGTGTAAGCGCGGTTCAGGGCTAAGGGTTTAGGGTTGTAAGTATCCAAGTTTCAGTTGATCTCATCTGGAAGCTTTGCATTTCTAACTTTGACACTTGGAAAATTGCCACTGCTACTAGCAGCAGTACTGTTGTCAATACAGTATGATGTCAGGAACCAGGAGAAAAGAAGACCCAAACAAAGGTGATAAGAGCCGGATCATAAATAGCATGAACCAAAGTAATGGAAAACAAACACACACACACACACACACACACAAGCCCTAAACCCCCGGCCATAAACACGAGAGTCTACATTCGCAGGATTGCTTGATGCGCATAATCAAGGTTTATCTGGTCCGCTCGAAGCAAACTGCAGGGTTTAGACTTTTAGGGCGGTGGAAGCTATTGATAACCCTGAGGGTCCAAGTACCCAATAATCATATACTTACCCAAAACCTGTACTAAAATTACTATTACCCCAAACCCAAGTACCTAATTATTGGGTACTTGGACCCTCTGGGTAAGGATGAGGCTGCGCAACTTCCGTCATAGCACCCATCAGCCTTCGTCTTGCTACTGATCAGGAAGCTCTCTGACCCCAAGACCTACCTTTGGTCAAACGAGGCTTCAGGACCCTTCAAAGGAGTCACCCGGCACTGCCAAAAATACCAAGTGATGAGTATACAGTAAATTCCCACTAAGAACCTTGGCATAACTTAGAATAGATTTCTGTGTAGGAACCACTGATGCTACATATAGTAGTAACTACAAGAGATAATAGGATATTGCATGCTTGAAACCTTTCTTAAGCCACAACCCCAAAGCTTTGTACACCCCTCGGCCTACATCATGAACCACCCTAAACCCCAAAGCCTCAATCCTAAATCCTAAGTCCTAAACCCCAAATCCTAAACCCTGAATCCTAAACCCTGGACCTTAAACCCCGAACCCTAAATCCTGAACCCAAAACCCTGAATCCTAAATCCAAGTGGGGGCAAGCCAAAGCCCTCTCCTTCATTGAATCGCTCCGTGATAGCGACAAGGTCAAACTGCGTGGCAAGAGCCTTAGCTAAGCTGTGGTTGTTCAGGGTTTAGGGGTTTAGGGGTCTAGGGGCTTAGGGTTTACGACTCAACGTTGAAGGTTTAGGGCTAAGGGTCGGGCTTAGGGTTGAGAGTAGCACTTTTTGAATCTAAGGTTTGGGGCTTAGGAATCTGCAGCTTCCCAGGGAGCCCCACTGGCTTAGCAAAACGTAGGGCCTATGGCCCATGATACCATTACAAGCTATATAGGCTATACTCCCAGTATCCGCTTGATATCACCTTTCAGTAATCCTCTCTATACTCCCCTTTGCAACCACCTCCTTGAAGGAATTTAAACTGGAGCTCTTCTTGCCCTCTGGGCAACCCCAAAATTCTCAGGCCCATTCCCTACTAAGCACGTTAAAGTTTTAGGATTTCGGGTTTACTGCTCTAAACCCTAGACCCAAAACCCTGAAATCCCAAGCCCTTCCCCAAACTGCAGCCCCTCAAGCCCAACCCCAAACCCTAAATCAAGAGGTACTGTTTCTAAGTGGTGGCCCAGGGTTTTGGGTTCATGGTTGAGGGTTTCCCTCCTAAACTCCTTTTAAACCCTAAGCCCTGCTGGGTTGACTTTGGAATTCCGCCCAAGCACCAGGACTGAGTGCTCAACCGACCCATTTCCCAAGAACGCCTCCGGGCGCTCAGAAGGGTTTAGGGTTCTGTAGAGTTTGGGAGTTTCGTTAGGGGCTATAGGGTTCAGGGACTTAGGAACTGGGATGTCAAGGGTTAGGGTATTGCTAGAGTAGACGTACGCGTACAGGAAAGGTAGAAGTACACAATTGTGAGGTACAAAACCCTTTTGAGACAGGCACGTTAATTGCTCTAGGAATGCCTTCGGCTTCAGGGTTCAGGGATTATTACCATTACTCTGGGTTTGGATCGGATTTTTGATCTTAAAACTTTGAAGTTTCGGAATGATGGTAACTTGGGAACCCTAAGTACTAGTAAGTTAAAATGGGCCTGAGCTAGGGTCAGGAAATGAGAAGACCTTAAGCTTTGAAGCCCTCAACCCTGAACCCCGCATTTGCACACAAAAGCATGTAAATCTGAAACCTACAGCCCCAAAGCCCTTTACCTTCAAACTCCCTACAACCCCCAAGCCCCAAAAATCTTTAACCTACAGCCCCCATATTATACTCCCCCAAAACTCCCTAAACCCTAAACCCCTAAATCTCTAAACCCTAAACCCCTAACTCCCTAAACTCTAAATCCCTAGCTCCCTAAGCCCTAACCCCCCCAAACTCCCCGAAGTATACGCCCTGAAGGTCTTTTCCGACCCCGACCTCAGCGGAGTTGAAGTTATAGCGGGGCACAGAGGGGTCATATAGTGATGTGTATATATATATATACCAATATATATATATACATATAGGGGGATATGCACGGATATGTAGGGGCTACATAGGGATATGTGGAGTTATATACGGATATATAATGTTATAAGGATATGTAGGGAGATGTAGGGATATACATATACATATATATATATATGTATGTATGGTTGTATCGGGTTATGTAGGGGTGTGTCGGGGGTTATGTAGGGATATAAATAGTTTGCCTGCAGAGCTAAGAGTCAGGTGTTACCCTCACGCTCTAAGGACTCACATGAGCTATATAGTCTCAACTCCTCAAAGCGGGTATATGAAGGACTATCTAGGGGAGTATCACAGGGCTTACTAGGGGGATACCAGGACTTTAGCCTATAGCTCGGATTGTGAAGTTCTTGGGCCTAGAGACCATACTATACAAGGCTTTTGGGCTATTTTGAGCCTTAGGGTTGAGGCTCTTGAAGAATCATCCGCAAGATTGTAGATGGAGGGACTCTTACACCACCTGGGTTCCCGAAACCCTAATCCCTAATCCCTAGGATTTCAAACAATGGGCGGTTGAAAGCACATCTTCGGTAAAATGGCAATAAAGTCGGTTTCCTTTGTGCTTAAGACCCCGCTTTAGGCAAGTGTATCTCCTATAAGGTAGGTTTAGTTGGGGGTTAGGAACCCCATCTAATTTAGAGAAGTGTAATCCCATTGCTCCCGTCTTGCAAGGAACCCGAAATCCTCACGGAGATCTCTGGACCGCGTACTCAAACATCCCACCAAGAGACCTAACCCCTGTCAGGGTTTAGGGATTAGGGTTGGCAGCCATGTAACAACTCCCTTTCCCCGCAAATATAAAAGCTAGTCCCACGCCCCCTATAGCTTCAACTCTAGACCTGAACCCTGAAGCCTCAAACCACGTCCTAGTATATCAAGATTGTGAAAGGGTCAGATGGCCCCCTCTCAAGGATTGCAGCTCCCATTTGACTTTTAGTCTGGGGTTTAGGGTTTAGGTCACCAAGTTAGGCTTTCTTCTGCTTATGAAATACTGCTCTTCAAAGAAGGATCTCATCTTGCTCTACATTGGGGACCGAGCAGGCACATGCTAGCCAAAGAAACCCGAACCCCCAAACCCTAAAACCCTAAACCCTAAAACCGTAAACCCCAAACTGAATAAACCCTAAACCCTATGAACCCTAAAACCCTAAACCCCAAACCCTATAAACCCTAGACCCTTTAAAACCTATAAACCATATAAACCCTATAACCCCTAAATCCTAAAACCCTAAACCCCCAAGGGCTTAGGAGTTTGGGGTTCTTGCGTCTCCTGATGTGAGGATTCTTTGTTTGTGGGGCTGCAGGGCCTCATTATGGGTTTAGGGTTTAAGGGTTAGGGCCTAGGGTTTAGGATTCATTGGGCTTATAGGGTTTAGGGTTTATAGGGGGTTTAGGGTTTATAGGGTTTGGGGTTTAGGGTTTAGTCCTATTGCCGTAGGGTTCAAAAGTTTCAGGGTTGCTGGGACTCAGGGTTTTATATTAGAGTTTCGAACAATTGGGGGGTCCCTGTTTCGGGCCTCTGCCATCAGGAGTATACTAATTGTATTTGGGGTTAGGTAAGGGTATTAGGGACCCCAACTTTAAAAACAAACCCTATGTGTGCAAAACTCGCAGAAATTCAGCACAGAGCAGTGACATCTTTTCACCGCAAGAAAGAAGCCGGAGAAGTTCTTGGCATACTTCCCTCAGCCCCAAACCCTAATCCTTAACCCTAAACCCTAAACTGGAAACCCATCCCCCCTGAACCCTAAGCCCTAAAACCCTAAACCCTACTCCCTAACCTTAAATCTGCTTCCCAAAGCGAGAGACCCCAAAATGCCTTCAGCCGCTGGGGGCCTGGATCGCACATTCTTTGGTCGTCCCACACTTGGAGGTTCAGTTTGGTTCTATCCTACTCATGACTCGCGCTTTTAACCCAATCAGAACCGCATTACTTAAAGGACTTCGAGGGCTTAATACTTGGGGTTTAGGGTTTACTTGGGTTATACTGACCCTGAACCTCCAAGCAAGTCTTCTGTACACTGCACAAATATGCGCGGCGGTCTGCACTGTTCCGCGCCTGACAGGGACCCCAAACCCATCCGAAATCATCATCGTGTCTCCTGGCAACTACGGGCTCTCCAAGGAGCTTGCCAGATGCTTCGCATCACGGTAAACAGCCTCCAAGTGTGGAGAACCCATGACACACCGATGATCACCTGCATGGTGCTTTGAAGGCCTACAACACTAGCAATGAACCCCAAACCCTAAACCCTAAATCCAAGGAGCACTACCACTATGGGCTATTAGACCCTAAAATTCCCTATTAGGACCCTATCAAAGGTAGATTAAGGTACCCTTAAGGTCTAATAGCCCATATTCGAATCAGTTCTTACAAAATGCCGTCCAGTCACCCATGTACATCGAGGTTTGCTCGATTTCCCACCCGTCTATGGTGATCCTTAGGTCCCTTGTGCTTAACATGTTCTAGGGATTAAGGTTTCGGGTTTATAGGGTTTATAGGGTTAGCAGGGTGTACATGATTTATTGGATTTATTGGGTTTATAGGATTTATGGGCTTTGTAGTGTTTTGGGGTTGTAGGGTTTATTGGGTTTAGGAATTAAGGTCTAGGGGCCAGGGCTTAGTGGCGAATGACTGAATGGTTATAGGGCGCTATAGGGACCATCAAAAAGGGATATCTACGGCCTAAATCCTAAACCCCCCCTCAGTAACACTTGGATAACAAGTATATTATGCTTATATATAGCCCTTACTAGGACCCCTAATAATAATGTGGACTGTTACTGGGCGGGGGCAGTACCCAACCTAAACCCGAATCTAAGGACTGTTCTTAGGATCCCTGGCTTCATACCCTACAAAGCCTCAGACAATTTGTAGCCCAATATCTAAGTTTAGTGTTTAGGGTTTAGGGTCCAACCTAAACCCGAATCTAAGGACTGTTCTTAGGATCCCTGGCTTCATACCCTACAAAGCCTCAGACAATTTGTAGCCCAATATCTAAGTTTAGTGTTTAGGGTTTAGGGTCGAAGGCCTCTGATATCGTGGGGTTTATGTCACCCAAAAGCTTCAACTAAAAACGCACGACCCTCCTAAACCATCCCAGACCCTCCCAAAGCATAAGCACGAAGCTGTAAGCCTTTCCCAACCCAAACCATGAATTCTCCTGAGCCCCAACCTTCCTGAACCCCAAGCCTCCCAAACCCTAAACCCTAAACCCTAAACCCTAAACCCGAAAACAAAATCCTAAACCCCAAGCCCTCCTAAAGCCCCAACCCTACACTCTCCAACGCCTTGACCCCTAAGCCTTCCTCCAACCCAAAGAAACTGCAAAAGGGGGTTTAGGGTTTGAGGTTTTGGCTTAGGGTTTAGGGTTTAGGGTTTTGGGGTCCCCAGAATGTAAGATTACAGTCCCTAAGAGGATTTTAGGGCCCAAATACTATAATGTTAATGGTATTTGGGCCCTAAAACCCTATTATTTGAGTCCCTGGACCTGAACCCTAGAACCCTATAATTTAGGTCCTTGGACCCTTAGGGAATGTGTTGGGGTCTACAATGGGGCCCTGTGGTTGTAGGATTTTTAGGGAGTATATTGGGGTCTATATTGGGGCCCTGTAGTTCTAGGAAACCTTCATGTAAGAATCTTTGCGAAGATCTCCTTCATCTCAGTGCCTTCCCTCTCCTCGGTTGCTGCTGAGGAACTGTAAATATAGAATGGGAAGGGTTTGGGTTTAGGGCTTACGGTACCTTGGATTGAACGCTAAACCCTTCAACCCTAAACCCCAAACTTTACAAACTTAAACCCTACAACCCTAAACCCTACAACCCTAAACCCTACGAAACCTACAACCCTTAACCCTCAAACCCAGTCTCCAGTCTAGGCCATGCTCCAGGCGATGTTCCGCAACCCATCTTTAAGGAGCTTTCGGCTTCTTTCCTGGGTTTGGGCTTAAAGCTTTGGATTGAAGGTTTTGGGTTTAGGGTTTAAGATTTAGGATTTAAGGTTTAGGGCTTAAGATTCAGAATTTAGGGTTTAGGATTCAGGGTTTAGGGGCCTAGTCCCCTAGGTACCTTGAAATGGGATATAGGGGTTATATACGAGGGTACAGGGCGGTATAGGGTTGTATAGGGGTTGTGCAGGGCTCAAGGTTTTCCAAAGTTAGGTGCTGCACCGCCTGACTTTTCTTTGTAGGCTTTAGGGTTGAGGGATTAGACTTGAAGGAGTAGGGTTTAGGGAGGAAAGGGCTTAGGATGGTTTAG